TCGTATTGCTCAGTTAATAGGACGTACCTTAATAAAATGAGCAAAGCAGATCAGTAGCTTGACAACTTGATGATCCTGAGGTACCTGCGATCATAGAACACATAAGCTAAGCCGGGGGTTGATCCGGCGGAAACCCCTCCGACGCTCAAGTCAGACATGCTGATAGTAGAAATAGTCCAGAGAATACATATTATCGTATTGCTCAGTTAATAGGACGTACCTTAATAAAATGAGGAAAACCTCTATTTATATGTCGTTTATTGGGTTGGGTTTGCTTTGTTGGGCCCAAGCCTTACTTGAAGGTGTTTGGGCCTCGGTGATATTAGTCTTCGATATTGGACTCGTAGCCCAGTAGGTAAAGAAATTGTAGGCCCATTGGGTTGGCCCAATTAGGCATATCATTAAGCCCCCCACTCTCGAGTCGATGTGGGGGCCATGTTGTGGTGGGTCTCAAATCGTGTCGAGAGTAAAAATTGGAGAAGTCGATCATTGGCGTATGGCCTAATGGTATGCGAAAACGCGTTGGAGCGTGTGTCGGAGGGGTGTGAATGCGCGTTGGCGCATAGCGCGACAAAGTTGCCGCAATATAAATTAATCGAGTCGTCGGTTTTGTCCCGCGACGATGTAGTAGCGATTTATCTCCTCGTGGGAGCTATCTTGTCGCGGGGTAATAGTGTTGATCGAGTTATCTCCTCGTGGGAGTTGTCTCGCGATAATGTAGTAGCACGGATCAAGTAATCTCCTCGTGGTAGTTGTCTCTGGGGTAATCGAGTTGATCGAGTTACGTCTTCGTGGAAGTTGTCTCACGATAATGTAGTAGCACGGAGCTAGTATTCTCCTCGTGGGAGTTGTTATTTTTCGACATTTTCAATGTTTTGACGCGTTGCTTGTATGTGTTTACATATAGCTTTCTGCGTGATGTACTTGATGAGGGGATCAGGCTCTCAAGATTTTTTTTATATGGGGGTCGTGCCCCTTGTTAGACCTCGTGGGTCTTAAGTATGTTTGGACCGTGGCCACGTTTTAATGAATGACCCATCGAAAACAAGTAGATAAATTTGAGTAATCAAGCTGGCCAGGCTATATAGATTCTCATAATATCTCTAAGTGCTTCTAGGATTGTAATCGTCTAACTTGAGCTTGCGATTATATGGTGAATTTCGGGCGAGTTGTCTCCTCATGGGAGTTGTCTTGAGCGAAGTTGTAGGAGCATTGGATGATGCGCGATTTAGGCGCGTGTGGATTGAGGTTGCTCTGAGCGAGTTGTCTCCTCGTGGGAGTTGTTTCGCAGCGAGTCTTATTATCGAGCGAGGTGGTTGCACGTGGGAGTTGCCTTGCAACGGATTTGTAATATCGAGCGAGTTAGCTCCTCGTGGGAGTTGTCCCGCTGCGGGTTGGGATACCGAGCGAGTTGTCTCCTCGTGGGAGTTATCTCGCTGTAGGTTGTAGTACCGAGAGAGTTGGCTCCTCGTGGGAGTAATCTCGCTGCGGATCATAGGATGGAGCGAGTGGTCTCCTCGTAGGAGTTATCTCGCTGTGGGTTCGTAGGACCGAGCGAGTTGGCTCCTCGTGGGAGTAATCTCGCTGCGGATCATAGGATGGAGCGAGTGGTCTCCTCGTAGGAGTTATCTCGCTGTGGGTTCGTAGGACCGAGCGAGTTGGCTCCTCGTGGGAGTTTCCTCGCTGCGGGTCGTAGGATGGAGCGAGTGGTCTCCTCGTAGGAGTTATCTCGCTGTGAGTTCGTAGGACCGAGCGAGTTGGCTCCTCGTGGGAGTTGCCTCGCAACGGGCTGTAGGATTGAGCGAGTGGACTCCTCGTGGGAGTTGTCTCGCTGTAGTTTTGAGACTAGAGGGGGTTAGCTCCTCGTGGGAGTTGTCCCACAACGGGCTATAGGACGGAGCGAATGGTCTCCTCGTGGGAGTTATCTCGCTATGGTTTCGTAGACCCGAGGGAGTTGGCTCCTCGTGGGAGTTGTCTCGCTGCGGGTTGTAGGACGGAGCGAGTTATCTCCTCGTGGGAGTTGTCTCGCTACGGGTTGTAGTTCCGAGCGAGTTGGCTCCTCGTGGGAGTTGTCTCGCAACGAGTGTGTAGGGCCGAGCGAGTTTGCTCCTCGTGGGAGTTATCTCGCTATGGCGTTGAGACCCGAGGGAGTTGGCTCCTCGTGGGAGTTGCCTCGCAACGGGTTATAGGACAGAGCGAGTAGTCTCCTCGTGGGAGTTAACTCGCTATGGTTTCGTAGGGAGTTGGCTCCTCGTGGGAGTTTCCTTGTAAGAGGTTGTAGGACCGAGCGAGCTGTCTCCTCGTGGGAGTTGTCTCGTTGCGGGTTGTATTACTGCGCGAGTTGGCTCCTCGTGGGAGTTGTCTCGCAAGCCCCCCACTCTCGAGAGGATGTGGGAGCCACGTTGAAAAGGGTACCGGATCTTGTCGAGAGTAGATCGGTGTTGTAGTCTTGCGTTAATCGTTGGCATGGTGTGGAGAAATTAATTTTTTTTTTTTTTTTATTTCATAGCGAACGCAATTTGGTAGGTGCGTTAAAGAGCTCGCGCAATTTGGTGGAGCGCGTTGAAATTCTCGTGCGATTTGGAGAAGCGAGTCAAAATCTACGCGCAATTTGGTGGAGGACGGTGAAAGTTGAGCGCGATTTGATGGGAGCACGCAGTCCAAGGGCTCCTTGGAAAGCGCGCGCGCGTGCTTGCGCGCGCTCCGAGTGCCCGGACATTTGCGACGCTGCATAGAAG